GGGACAGTAGAACATGGCCCCCGCTGTGTTCTGGACCCTGCCCTCCTCTGTGCTTCCGTTCCAAGGCTGATACCATCTGCAACTCTGCAGGGGCATCAAGGTGCTTTCTGGGCTTCCTCTGTTTGTCGTTCATGGACTTCTTCACTATCACTCACCCACCCACACATTCACTGGCCTTTTGGGCAAAGTACCAGTTGAAGCACATGCTGAGTGCTGTGGGGGGATGTAAAGAGGAATGTGAAATGTGGGCCTGGCCTTTAGAACACACAGACAAAATTACACTGATACTTATTAAGAAGGCAAGAAAGACTAGTCAAGATTCTTGCAACAGATGAAAGGGTTTCAACTGGACTCAATGCTACAGTTAGGATTTCTAGCCAATCGGCAGGGTGAGGGGGTGGATGGAAAACTGCTAAAAGGAACTTGGTTCAGTATAAAGAGTAAAGGAAGAGAACCTGATTGGATAGGTCCTGGGGGGCTGGGGGGATCATCTATAAACTGACTTAGCAGAATTCTTTGCTCAAACTGGACTCAGCAGGCCAAGGGAGGCTGGGTGAGGAAGAAGGTTCTAAGGAGGGAGTGTCTGTCAGACTCACAAAGGAATGTGAGTGTCAGGACCCAAGCAGAGGACCTGGGATGGGGGCAGTCAGGAACGAGCAGTTAGCCCACCCCTGACACAGCTGGACTCACAGAGGCGCCCATGGGTGCATCTGGGTCCCCCTGCCACTGGCCTAAGCACTGACCTTTGGGTTCTTGAACTGGCTTTTTCCCACGCTCATTCATATTTGTTTCCTTTTTGACATCCCCTCCTCTTCTTTTTAAAAAATTGAGGCAACATTGGTTTATCTGACTTAGGCAAATAAATTCACATTTCTTTGGATGCATGTCACCACCGTGCAGCCCCCCACACCAAGGCACCCATAGTCCTTTACCCCAGGCCACTGGGCAGCCTCCCCTCTTTTTCCCTCCCCTCTCACCCTCCCCTTCTGGTCGTGCTCACACCTTTCTTTCTTTCTTTCTTTCTTTCTTTCTTTCTTTCTTTCTTTCTTTCTTTCTTTCTTTCTTTCTTTCTTTCTTTCTTTCTTTCTTTCTTTCTATTTATTTATTTATTTATACAAGCACTAGGTACAGTCAGAAGCGCGGGAGGGTGAGAGAATTCACCAGAGCCAGGGCGGGGAGCAGAGCAGGCAGAAGGACCAAAGTACACTGCTGAGGGGAGCAGCGGGCGGCAGGAGAGGTCTGCGCGCCTTGTGGGACCCTCCTCCGGTGGCCGGGGAGCAGCCGGGGATCAAACCGGCATCACAGAGGCCGTGGGCAGCTTCGCAACCCAGCGCTCAACCACTGTGCCACCGGGGAGGCCCACTTACACCTTTCTTACTGCTCAGTGACATCCACTTACGTTTCGTTAGTGCTTTGAAAGTTTTCATTTCTAAGCTCAGATACTTTCTACCACAAATGAGACTGGAAAGTACAAAGACTTTATTTAGACCTAGGACAAGGGTTTTAACCTCATGTTTCTCTTCTCCAGTATTGTTTTTATTTTTTAAAGATTTATTTATTTATGCATACAAGAACTGGGGTATAGACCAGAGGTGAGGGGGATGAGAGGCTTCACCAGAGACAGAGTGGGGAACAGAACAGGCAGACTGACTGAAATACACTGCTGAGGGGAGCAGCAGGTGAGACGGTGGAGGTCTGCTGTGCCATGTGGATGTCCTCCCTGGCAGGGGATTGAATTCATGCTGCAGTGGCTGTGGATGGCTTCATAGTGCTGCGTCTTAACCCCTTGTACCACTAGGAGGCCCCTCTTCTGCAGTGTTGGATGGTACCTGTTATGGGCTGATTGTGTCCCACTCCCCCATCTCTTCACCCCAAATTCATACCCTTTGCCCCAAACTCCTATGCTGAAGCCCTAACCCAATGTGACTCTTTGGAAATAGGGTCTCTAAGGAGGTAATTAAGGCTAAATGAGGTCATAGGGCGGGGTCCTAATCTGATAGGATTATTGTCCTTATAAGAAATGAAGATATACCAGAGAGCTCTCTCCAGGCATGTTCAAAGGAAAGGTCATGTGAGATACAGAGGAAAGCAGGCCTTCTGCAAGCCAGAGAGAGAGAGATCTCAGCAGAAAGGCCACTTCCAAGAATTTGAACTTGGATTTCTTGCCTCCAGAATGGTGAGAAAATAAATGTCTATTGTTGAAGTCACGCAGTGTGTGCTATTTTGTTCTGGCAGTCTATGAACTAACACAATACTCTCTCATGATTTCACTAATCAACACATATTGAAGACATAACAGCAGTCCCGTCCATTAATGAACTTCCCCCCTTTTCTCCAGTGCTGTGATTTGTGGGGGCATTAAGGGCCTGTTGGCTAACAAGTGACTTACTTGTGACTGCCTGAAGATGTGGAAAATTCATGCAGTCCTCAAATTCAGACATTTTTCCATTTTGTATATAAACAGATTTTTGGCAAACTAATAAAACCCAAAAGAGAAATTTTCTGGAATTACGGTGTCAGCAGTTAGGGTTCCTGGTTTCAAGCAACATGATCCATGCTGGTTGACTTAGGCCAGAAAGGAATTAGTGAAAAGATATTCATCAGGCACAGCAAAGCTGAAGACCCAGGTGTGAGGCTTTGCTGGGCAAAGGGTCAAATTTGATACCACTAGGCAGTTGATTAGGACGTAAGGGCCACCATGGAGTCATTGCTGTCCGTTCACCAACACCCTGGGTCTTGGCTGCACCAGCTCTGCTATGCCTTCCTCAGGAGTGAGTGTGCTTCATGGGTTCTGTGGTCTGGGAGTGGTGTGATCTTCCAGGCAGAGCCTAGACCACCTTTCTGCATCCTGCAGCAACGCAGTCTGGAAAGCAGGTAGTTAGCATTTTCGCATTGATGATGAGAAGTGGCTCTGCCTCCTACCAAGATTCTGGGTGAGAACTTTCCCAAATAATAAAAGGACAATCAGAATGGTCCAAAGGAATGTGAAGTCCCCTATAGATACAGAGGAGTCTTATAGAGCCTCCAAATAGGAAATGTAGCTTCAGGCATAGCACTGGAATGCCAGGACCGGATTGCTCCACGTGTGTCTCTCGGTACTTGCTCTCCTGAAGATGGGTTCCTCCCATCTGCTTGCTCCAGTGAAGGCCACCTCTGTTCTAACTGCTGGAAAGTGGCTGTCCATCTCTCATAGAGCAGCCGTTTACTCATCTTCTAGAAGCGCCTCCCAACTTCCCTTTGAGTCCATTCTTGCCCTGGCGGGGCCTACACTCCCAGTCCTAGGGATGAATTGTAGAACCCCAGCCCACACTGATTGTTTTTCCTGGCTACGGTGGTTGAGCCACAGTGTGCATGTGACCAGAGACAGCCTGGGACTTTTTTTTTTTTTTTTAAGTTATAATTTGTGTGTTATAACGTGTACAAGTCTCAAATGTACTGCCCAATGAACTTGATATGTATACATCCATGTGACCACCATCCAGGCGGAGCTATAGAACATTTCTAGCAGCCCAGAAAGCTCCACCCAAAGATATTCACCATTCTGACTTCTATTACTACAGATAGGGATTTGATGTTGTTATTATTATTATTTGAACTCCATTCAAATGGAATCATCCAGTATATTATTTTTGGTGTCTTTTGTTGCTCAACATTTTGTCATGAAATTCATATATATATATATATATATATACATATATATATGTATAGTATTGGTTCATTTGAGTTATTTTCAGTTTGGGCTATTAAATAAACAAACTTACTATGTACTCTGTTATATGTATCTTGGTGATTATAAACACTTGTTTCTTGGGTGCCTATCAGAAATGGAATTTTTGGTTGTAGAAAAAACACATAGCTTTAATAGGTATTGCCAAGTAGTTTTCCAAATGAGCATACCAACTTAAACATCCACCAGTAATAATGGAAACCTACAGTTGCTCTCCATCCTTACCTATTAACTACTATCGATAGCCTTTAAATTGTAGCCATTTTGGGCATTCTTGGTGGTGCAAGGTGTTCAGTCTCAGCACTATGAAGCTATTGGCAGCCACTGCAGCCTTAGTTCGATCTCCAGCCAGGGAACTAACTCACATGGCACAGCAGACCTCTCCTGTCTCAACTGCTGCTCCCCTCAGCAGTGTATTTCAGGCAGTCTGCCTGTTCTGCTCCCCTCTCTGTCTCTGGTGGATCCTTTCAACCCCTCCCCACCCACAACTCTGGCCTACAACCCAGCTCTTGTATGTATAAGTAAATAAATCTTAAAAAAATAAATTGTTGCCATTTTGGCTGGGTATTAAGGTATTACATTATAGTTTAATTTGTATTTCCTTGAAGATTAAGGGTGCCAAACACTTTCATATGCTGATTGGCCATTTGAATATCCTGTTTTGTCAAATGGCTGTTCAAGCTTTTGCCTGTTTTTAAAAATCACTGGGGTGTTCTTTTTCTGATTGATTTCCAACAATTCTTTATATATTCTGGCTATGATTCTCAATATAGATATTTGCTTGATACGTATATTGCAAGTATATTCTTCTATCCCATAATCTGCATCTTTACCCCCCTAAAGATGCTTTTTACTTATTCTATTTAAGAATCTTTGCTCATTCTGAGATCATGAACCAGTTAGTGACTCTCTAGGGAGGAAGAGGTAAGTGGTTCTTTTTTTGTTGGTATTGAATTTGAGGTTGCAAGAGCATGGGGTTGAGCCAGAAATAGAGGCAGGATGCAGAAGGACTTGGAGAGTGGCACTGCAGAGGGCACTGCCAGCATCAGGCCAGTCTGATCTTCTCAAGATGTTTTCCACTGTGGTTGTGGTAAAAATCAAGATTTGGGCCCTGAAGATGTGTGGGGCCATTTGATCTTAGAAAAGATTCATTTAACTATATCTTGATTAAGTATTTACTGAGTGTTTATTGTACAATGTGACACTGTCATGCAGCTTAATGCTAGAGGATTTCAGAAATTATTAAAAAATACTTTCTTATATTTCTGATTAGGAAAACAAGGTGAGGATGTGATCAATAATTTGCTTGTCATCATCGTTGTGTTAGAACCACAGCTAAACCAGAGCCAGAAATCACACCCAGATCTCCTGGATTGAACCCTTTTTCTCCCTTCCCTTTCACTAAACTGGCAAAGAAAGGCTTAAGGCAGATGAATCCTATCTCAGGTGAGTGGATGATTTAATCTTTTCCTTTGACCCTAGGTTAGGCGAAAGTGAGAAACTCCTGGTCTGAAATGGTAGAGACTTCAGGAAGTCCACACAAGTCAAGAGCGAAAGTGGACCAGTGTTGGCAGGGGGAAATCAGAGGTACTTCAGGAGATCTGTGTGAAGGGAAAACAACATCACAAGTTCTGGGCACATGTCTTCCAAGTGGGGCTATTACCTCTTGGGTTTTAGTCCAGGATACAAGGTTCTTTCCTGCTGTGGTCAGTTTCAGGAATCTGGAATTCAAAGTTGGATTTTTACAGCCTCCAACAAGTCCTTGGCTAAGACAGACCTTCCTTCCTTCCTTCCTTCCTTCCTTCCTTCCTTCCTTCCTTCCTTCCTTCCTTCCTTCCTTCCTTCCTTCCTTCCTTCCTTCCTTCCTTCCATCTCTGGTTAATTTTTGGATAGTATTTGATTTTTCCCCTCTGGTGTAGTCCCATGTAGTTCTCCCATCACCATAACACCTGCAATCCATCATCACAGTCTCTTGTGCTCCCTCCCCTGTCCCTGTTTTGACCCTTCCTCCTTCCTTGCTCTATGCCTCTGATCTATGCGTGCAAGTTTTGTTCCCCTCACCCTCAACACACACACACACACACTGTTTGGTTTCTCTGTATTCTGCATGTAAGTGAAACCATCTGGTATTTATCTCCCGACTTATTTTGCATAGCATAATCCCTTCCAGCTCCATCCATGTTGCTGCAAATGGCATGAGTTTATCTTTTTTGATCGCCATTGCATGTATATATACCACAAGAGAGTGATAGACTTATAGATGTCTTGGTATTCACCTTGAAATGGAGACCAGTGACATAAAGAGACAGTGACTCTGTGAGGCCTCTTTTGTCTTCTTCTTACTTCATCTGTAAGAATCATGATTGTAAGAACCAGCACTGTGAGGTCTCCCTTAGGCATGGTAGGAACTGTTAAAACGCCATTAGGCTCTTTATAATAATCCTATCCCTTTACAATAAATGTTTCTTGAATGTTCTCTAACATTATTAGAGAAAGAACATTTCAGCAGTGGTTCCTAAATTCAGATGGATGAACTGGTGCTGTATAAGTTTCTGTAAAATTGTCCTTGTGGATCTGGTCTTTGGCCTGGGAATCTGGGATTTTAGCAAGTCCTTCAAGTGATTATGATAAACAGATGATTCTGAAGCCCATTTTGCCATCTAGAACTTGGGCTCTGACAGATTAACAATTGTATTTTTTTACCTACAAGTAGCCTCTTGAGTCCTCCATTTTATTTCCTTTTTTTAAATTTAAATTTTCTCTGGGTAGAATTTTGTTTTACTTCTCTCTCTCTCTTTTTCTTTATTATGGTAACATTGGTTTACATTGTTTGTTTGTATTTTGGAAGCAGTACCCTTCCAGTACTGCTACCCTAGTGCTTTCACCACAAAAGCACCCATCGTGTCCACCACCTACTCCTCAGTTTTCTTGTCTGTAAAAATGGGGATTATAGTAATGCCTACCTTGATGTGCTGTTAATGTAGACCGAGGAAGGTGATATGAAACTGCATGTAAAGCTAAAGCAGAGGAGGGTTTGTCTCTCAGTAAGTCAAACTATAATTATTACCATTCTGCCTGCATGTTTTTTTTTTTTTAAAGATTTATTTATTTATTTATACAAGCACTGGGTACAGTCAGAAGTGCGGGAGGGTGAGAGAATTCACCAGAGCCAGAGCGGAGAAGAGAACAGGCAGACTGAGGAAGTACACTGCTGAGGGGAGCAGCGGGTGACAGGAGAGGTCTGCGCACCATTTGGGACACTCATCTGGTGTCCGGGGATTGAACCGGCACTACAGAGGCTGTGGGCAGCTTCGCAACCCAGTGCTCAACCGCTGCGCCAACGGGGAGGCCCCATGTCTTTTTTTTTTTTTTTTAAGATTTATTTATGCATACAAGAACTGGGGTACAGGCCAGAGGTGCGGGGTGGGGGGTGAGAGGATTCACTGAGACAGAGTTGGAGAGCAGAACAGGCAGATCTACTGAAATACACTGCTGAGGGGAGCAGTGGGCACAACAGGAGAGGTCTGCTGCACCATGTGGGTCAGCCCCCTGGCTGGGAATCAAACTCGTGCTGCAGTGGCTGTTGATAGCTTAATAGCACTGTCTTTAACCCCTGCACTGCCAGGGAGGCCCCCTGCCTGCATGTCTTTTAGTCACCACATGATTGCTTTTTTTTATGTGTTGATATGTTTTAACATTGCTCAGTTATATAACATTGCCCGACTAGATTTTATTTCATACAAATAGAACAAAGTATATGTTATTATTACTTTGATAGGTGAGTGAAAAAGTACAGTGAAGTTAAGTATTTTGTCTCAAAATACATAACTTGTGAATGCCAGGGCCCCGGTCTGAATGGAGAACTGGAATTCTACAGCCCACAAGTGGGAAGGTGAGGGAAATACTATTGTAGAGTGGGTGGAGATGCTATATTCACGCCTTTCTCTCTGGCTTCATTATTTTACCTTTGAGTGTTTGCCAAATTGCAAAGAAGTTCAATGAGTCTATCAGATATCTTAGTTTTACCAGCTCAACCTCTCCCCGCAAAGGGGAAGCACATGGGTGAAAGGAAGGCTGATCTTTAACACCTGACTGACTGTATGAGACCACAGATCGACAGCGTTGGCAGAACTACATTAGAAATGCAAAATCTCCCACCCAGTTTCAGTCTGAGTCCAGTTTTAATGAGTTCACCAGGTTAAAGTCTAAGAAGCAGTAAGATGAGAACTGTGGTGTGCAGTGAAGGCCGCCCCAGGGAGCAGGGGTGCATGTGCTTATCTGGTGACTGCGTTGTCCTGGTTGAGCTGGAATTTCTGGGTGAAAATTCCCTGCTCTTGGTGAGGAGGAAAAAGGCTGGTAGTAGCTAGACTCATGTTCGCATAGAAAGTCCATCCCTGCTATGTCTGCCACCAGCAGTAGATGCTCTTTTTCTTGATTGTACCCACATCCTTTGGAACATCGCCGTGGGGGTTATTAAGATACCAGCACCACATGGGTTCATAACTGTTACAGCATCATTGGGGGTCTTTACAATAAACACCTTTGAAGTGCTCCTCACAGTATTACAAGCAGTGTTAATGTGGCAGTAAAATGAGACCTTGATCTCCATCCACCACCTTTGCATGAGAAGAGAGGGAGAGTCAGTGAGTGAGCGTGTATTATTATTATGATGATTATTATTTTAAAACTATTTTGGACCCCTGTGACCTTCTCCCTTGAATGCAACCACACATTTAGAGCTCCATTGTAAATTGGCTTTATGGTTCACTTCATTTGTGAGTGTCAGATAAGCAACTGGGACAAAAATGTCATCATTTTGTGTTTATGGTGGATTGCATAGTGTTGAAAAATCGGGACTGTTTATTTTTCGCTTACATTTCATCGAAGTATAACATGCTTCAATAAAAGAGCACAGATCTTAAGTGTACAGCTTAAGGGAATACATAAAGAATGTACCTTCATGATACAACTTGGGACACCGTGTGTCAGCACCTGGATTAGGCAACAAAGACTGACTCAGCATGCCTCTCTCCTATGCACTGCTTCTCCTTTATCTTCTTGCTATGGCAGCTAGTTTCTTCTCTTTCATTTATTTATTTTTGGGGGCATTTTTATTTATTTTATAAAAAAAATTATTTTCATCCTCCACCAAACCACTGATGGCCATACCCCATCTACTTTCCTCCCCTATCCTCTCTGGTCCCTCTGGTATCTAGTATATTCTTTTTGCTGAGATTTAGTCAAGATTTATTCTTACTATTCTTTGCATATTATTTTTTTTGGTATTTATATTCCACAGATGGGTGAAACCATTAACATATGAATGAACAGAGAAATTGTGGAGTATATACTCAATGGTGTACTACACAGCTGTAAAGAAAGATGAAATGGTGGCATTTGGGATAAAATGGATGGACCTTGAGGTGATTATGTTAAGTTAAATAATAAAAAAAAAGTTTGGCTTTGCTTCTTCTCTTCTAATACTATATATTTGTTTTGGATGTGGGAGCCATATTTTTATGCCAGAAAAGATATTGATATGGAAGTATATGATTTAAAAATATTATCCTGTCATCCCACCTCCCACCCCAATATTTTAGTGTGTGATTCCTTCAGGGAATCACAGGGACATCCTTCTGCAGAACAATAATGTAACCATCATAATTGAGAAAATAACATGGACACATTATCACTATCTCTGCAGGCCCCATTCAAGTTTCACCAAGTCCAAGATCATGCATTACACTGAGGTGTCATGTCTCTTTCATCTGCAAAGTTGGAGGGTTCCAAATCTTTCCTTGAATTTCAGGACCTCAACACTTTATGACTTTACTAGATATTCTGTTCCTCCACAGGGAGCAAAAATGAAAACTCATGTCTCCCTTCCATGCTTCTCAAAAATCTGTGTAAACATGTCAATGAATGTCATTGAAAATACCATTTTCTGGGCCTCCCTGGTGGTGCAGGGGGTTGAGCACATCACGGTGAAGCTGTCTGCAGCCTCTGCAGTGCGGGTTCAATTCCTGGCCGGCCAGAGAGATACCCACATGGTGCGGCAGACCTCTCCTGTCTTGTCTGCTGCTCCTCTCAGCAGTGTTTTTGGTCCATCTGCCTCTTCTGCTCCCTACTCTGTCTCCTGCATCTCTGGCCTGTACCCCAGTTGAAGTATAAATAAATAAATCTTTAAAAAAAATACCATTTTCAAAAGTAGTTGAAAATATAAATTTCTATAAGATTTGAAGATACACAAACCTCTGAATCATCACAAAGCACTGTTAATATCTATTTGTATTCTTATGCCTTTTCAATGTATTTGAACAAATAAATGGTTTCTGGCACTGTTTTTGTATTAGGTTAAAGGAGTTGCTATGTTTATTATATTTAGCTTTTTTAAAAATTTTATTTATTTATACAAGAACGGGGTACAGGCCAGATGCGTGGGAGGGTGAGAAAACTCACCAGACACAGAGCGGGGAACAGAACAGGCAGACTGACGAAATATACTGCTGAGGGGAGCAGCGGGAGCGACAGGAGAGGTCTGTCGTGCCATGTGGGACCCTTGCCGGCCAGCTGGGATTGAACCAGAGCTGTAGAGACTCTAGATAACTTCACAGCGCGGTGCTCAACTGCCTGTGCCACCAGGGGAGGCCCTATGTTTATCTTTTAAGTCAGTTAAAATAATTGTGAATACATATTTCTTGTCTTTCCTCCCCCCTCCTCCCCCCTCCTCCCATTATGAGAACCACTCTGAAATCTGTTCTAGGACAAAAATCACTTTAAAGAAACATTTGCCCACCTGTGATCCCTAAGACGTCAAGAGAAGGTCAAGGCAGTTTTTCATTGCCCAAATGCTTAACTTGCCAGTTGCTTCCTTATTTTGTCATCCTTTATAAAAATAAAAAGAGGAATGCACAGTAAAAAAATTAATTATAAGACTGGTATTTTGTGGCATGTACCTCAGTTCTGGTGTGTCTGATGTTTCCTCATAATTAGGTTTAGAAAGTGCCTGTTTATTTTTATTATTGACAGGAATATCACAGACGTGATGGTCTTCTCTTTGCCTCCAATAGGTGGTGCACAATTTCAAGTTATTACATTAATGGTGATGCTCACAGATCATTTGATGAAGAGACTCTGTCAGGCTTCCTTCTTGTAGGAGTAATCCTTTCCTCTTTATAATTAGTATGTTGGGGGAGGTATTTTGAGATTGTTTAAAGATCCCATTCTGCATTAAATGTGCACCTGTTAGTTTTAGCATACAATGATTATTCCTGTCTGAATCAATATTACTATGGTGGTTGCCTGATAGTAATTTTCTAATTAAATTCAATCATTCATTTTATCTATTTATTAGCTGACATTCTTTTATAAGGCAAAAACTCTCTTCTCCTTATTAATCAATTAACCGACTAATTAATTTCTGTCAGCACAGACTCATGGATTCCCATTTTATTCATTAGACTAATTTGTTAGAGTTAGCATTATTATAATGAACATATTATCATTATTATTTATCAAATCTGTTACCAAATTGTCCCTTATTTGGTAGTGTCCTAATCATTCCTTGATTACTTTCTTTCTGAAACAATAAGATATTCCAAGCTCATCTTGTAATTCTCCTGCCATTTCTTCTAAGAGCCTTGATTCCATTTAATGGAGAATGGCATTTAGAAATCAAAATGTGGATGGGGATATTTGGTGTGGTTATTGTTATAAGGATGTCACTGCTACCATGTCCTCTAAATGGTTAGAGATAGGTAACAGACACACACACACATACACACACACACATCCCTTTACAGCTATATTATTTTTTATATCTTTTTATCTTTTATCTGCTGTATATTATATACTATGTTTTGTCTTTTATATACTGCATTTTATATTTTTGTATTTTATATCATGCCTGTATTTATTTATTTATTTTTTTGATTTATTTATTTATACAAGCACTGGGTACATTCAGAAGCGCAGGAGGGTGAGAGAATTCACCAGAGCCAGAGCGGGGAGCAGAGCAGGCAGAAGGACCGAAGTACACTGCTGAGGGGAGCAGCGGGAGGCAGGAGAGGTCTGCGCGCGATGTGGGACCCTCGCCCGGTGGCCGGGGATTGAACCGGCACTGCAGAGGCTTCAGGCAGCTTCTCAAGCCAGCGCTCAACCGCTGCGCAACTGGAGAGGCCCTATGTTTGTATTTATTTATTTATTTTTTTACCTCTTTGTTTTAACTTTTTTTTTTTAAAGATTTATTTATTTATTTATACAAGCACTGGGCACAGTCAGAAGCGCAGGAGGGTGAGAGAATCCACCAGAGCCAGAGCGGGGAACAGAACAGGCAGACAGACGAAATACACTGCTGAGGGGAGCAGCGGGCGACAGGAGAGGTCCACGTGCCATGTGGGACCCTCACTGGTGGCCAGGGATTGAACTGGCACTGCAGAGGCTGCAGGCAGCTTCGCAGCCCAGCGCTCAACCGCTGCACCACCAGGGGAGGCCCTATGTCTGTATTTATTGACAGGGATATATTTGGACTCTAAGAGTACTTTAAAGTCAATAGCACAGAGTCATTCTAGTTTTCTCTTTTCCCATCTTCATAGCCGCTTTTCCTGACTGTGAGAAACTGCCTTCTTGCCCCACCCTGCTCCAGCTCTGCCACTGAATGTAATAATATCCTCTTCACCCTGCTTCACACCAATGTTCCAAGCCAGGCTATTTCTTCTGCTCCCCTAGCCCTCCTCGAGGCCCTCTCCACCCCACAATGGCTCCTGACGGGCTACTCCACCATCTTGGTTTCCTTACACAGATATTTACTCCTCCTCTAAGACTTCAACAGCCACACTGAGTGGTGTGGTCACCTTTGTCATTTTGCTCCCATTTCACTTTCCTGCCTGCAATCTTCACTATGCCCCCAACACACAACTACATCCCCTCCTCACTCTGCTCAGGACCTACTGCCCCTCAACAGGCTGCTGTCACTGTCCCCACACACACAACCCCCTCCCTACCTATCACCTAGGCCCCCTGATGGAAGCTCTCCACAGTGACCCCCTCAGGGCTGCCACATCCTGAAATTCCAGCCATCATCTCTATCTCTTTTGACTAGTCAACCTAATAACTTCTGGACTGAGTTATTCAGAACTGAAGGCAGGAAAGCAGCTACTATCACAAGGCTGACTCCTCCTCCAAGCACAAAAGACATGGTGCTCATGGGCCATAATAATTTTAAGGGTCCATGACAATAATGTAATTTTAATTTCTTATAAATTTATAATAATGAAAACAACAACAATAAGAAATATAACAATGAATCTAGAAACCTGAATTAGTTGACCACACAACTCAGTGTGGCTGTTGAAGTCTCAGAGGAGCAAGATGTCTGACAATAATGATGTTTATTTTTATATTAATGCAGAAGAATTTTTTTTTTATGGAGGAAGGGGAAGGTGTCTAGGGCTCATGAAAGTTGCAATACAACCCTTCTGTGTCTTATTAGCTTTATGGGCGCAGTTCTTTGTAGAGTTTCTGGAACCCAGTATGACTCAATAAATGTTTGTGAAATAATTGACTAAATAACTGGCCAAACTTTGGGGGCTATATTTCCTGTTTCTCCTGTGGCAGACAAGAATAGAGCAAAACAAACAGTATTTGTTCATGAGCTGTTCAATAGAATGAGTGCATTTTTCTAATTAGTATTTCAAAATTATCAATGTAGTCACCATTCATCCATATATCCACTCATTCATACATATATTCGTTCATATGTTCATCCATTCATGAATGCATTTGGATTCCTCCATCGAAATATTTTCTGAGTACCTCTTATATGTCAAGGCTCTGCTTCCTTTGTGTAGGTCAATATGAGGTTATGGTACTTTAGTCCTAGTCCTAGTTCTAGGAGGCAGGATGTCTCTACAAGAACAAGGCCCTGAACAAACTGACCTGTGTGGAACTATCTCCTTCGCAGAGCCATGGGTCAGAAATGTGTTGAGATGACCCTCAAGCTCCAATCATATATATACTACTGCTACACAGAATTTTCTATACCCATGAGGTTAACTAACTTCATCTTTTCTCATTATGAGTCATCATCAAAAATGCATATATCATGACAAGTGGTTTAGTTTCTAGTTCTGTCGGTTGCATTTTAAGCAATAACAAGAGTCTATGGTGGTCGACTATGGGTTTTTTGGTGGTGGGCACACTCTGGCAACAATGCCTGAAGGGGGGATCATATACTTCTTTTATGGCAATAATGACATAAACCAATATTAACTCAATAAAAATTTTTTTTAAAAATCAAATCCAAGGCTTGTGCTGAGAACTTGGTCTTATCGATAAAGTAAAATGTGAGCGCAATCAGACTTTTGTGTCCACAATTGTTTACCATCGACTGTCTTTACTGAGGGCTTCCTTATTCCAA